CCTGGAACACAAAAAATTCACACAGTGATTCCGACAGTTTAGAAGTAATATGTATTCGAATTCAATAGAAGCACTATAGAATATTTATCATATCATGATGAAAATATAATCTTGGGAGAAATATCTGGATTTGGTGGTAAGCCTTTGTTTTAGGGAAAAATCAAAAGCGGAAGAAATATAATAAAGTTTTTACACTCATCCGGGCCTTTCTAATTTCTTTACATTTCCAAGTATAGACGACATTACTTGACAAAACATATCTTAACATTAGTTTCACAGTTAACTGCTACTAGCCGTAGTTATACTTAGTCATCAAAAGAAAGTAAATGCGCTACCGAAAAATTAGAATCTTTTAAAAGTCAGTTATATATTCGATTTTTAAATTTGCACTATCAATTATTGTGTAATATTTAGGGCGCTATATATGAAATGTACAAGATTCTGATTCATATATTCAAGAACTCTAAACTTGGTATATGTTATATGGGCAATAATTTTATAATAAATTGAAGTTCAAGAAAAACCATTAAATGTTTCATATATAATTTTATACAAAGACTCTTTCGGGAAAATATTTATACACTTTTCTAATCATTTTTTTGAGAATGAAGCTGGCCGCTTCCCAGACCAATTTTTTTTTATAAATATAAAAAAAGAGTTTAGTAATTGTCTGCTAAATTTTTAAAATAAATTTAAAGGTCGTATTATTTCCAATAAATCGTTTTTAGTTCTTATATATAAAATAAAATGGTCGGAAATTGGGAAAATCAAAAAAAAAATTTTTATCTAAAAATATAATCTTTATATGAAATTTTTATATTTTATATTAAATTTGTTTTTACAATTATGTAGTTTTTAAGATATGCTTAATTTAATGAGGGCAGATAATGGTAAAAATACGTCATTTTTGCCATTTTGAATTCTAATATCTCCAAAAAATAAAAATGATAGGAGTCAAAAATTTTGGCTATTTTTTAATTACAATACCTTTCCTTGTTTACCAAATTTTTTAAAAAGCGAAGGGGGTCGGCCGAATCCTGGTTGATTTGTCTTGGAATACTAAACTTTATGGATTATCACTTCTATCAAATATCAGAATTCATCAATAATTTTTTTGTCTCGCACTGCCCAAATACTTTTTTCAGACTGCCCAATACCGGGTTGTGCATTGCAGACCTTTATTATCTATCACAATTGCTTCTTCAAATATTAATCAGAGAAAACTTTATCTTTAAGAACAATGGTTCTTTTATTAGTGGTGTGAGTTTTAAATATTAAGGATTCAAAAAAAATTTTTTACTAAAGGAAACATTTTTGGCGCCATCTTATATTTTGATCAATGCAGCATCTAATTGTGAATGTTTTAATCCTTATATATTTATATTTATTAAATAATTTAAATATCTTTTTAGGGATACAATACATTTAATATATAATTTTTATCCGAGATTAACATGGCCCAAAGCTCCATAGGCTAGAGAGTTCGGCACAACCCAGACCAAATTCCATCTGTCAAAAAATTTTTTATGCCCTGGACATATTCAAAATATTTTTATGAACTTGGCGAGCTGATAGACAAATTTGTCATTTTCTTCATAAAAATTAATTACCAGTTGGCCCGAAAAGCTCCATAGAAAATTTCCATGGGCTAGGCCGCGAATCTGCCACGCAATCTTTGCAAAAAGAACCCAGGCTAGGTTAGAAAAGTTGTGCAAAATTTATTCTGGTTAGACGTTTGTCCTTTATATAAATTATTATGGCAGGACTGGTAAGATTGTATGAGTTTTTTGGGACGAGCTGGGCCAAAATACCTTTTTAAATATCTTGATGGGCCACACTTTTGATCTCTAATTTTATTCTTAGCCCTAAATAATAATACAGATTTGTAAAAACTGTTAATATTTTAAAAATAATATAATTCAAATAAATATTACAAAATTTGTAATTTAAAAGTACTAAATATATAATTTCAACTAGAATAGTTTATCAAAATAAAGAAAAATTTCTTAAATATCTCATCATAATTTAGGTACATTTCTGATTAATACCTCATAAAAATAGGGGAAATTTATTATTCACCAGTCATTAAATAAAAGAGAAATTTATGATTCATCTACCATTTTTTATCGGGCTATCTGATAATCTTTAAAATGTTATTGTAAAAGGGATGATCTAAGTTTATCAAGTCCGAATGCAGAATTTTTATTGAATGAATTGATTGTATTAATAATTTATTCGCTTGATAAATATTTCAGAGTCCTGGACCAAAGCCCAGCATGCGATATACTATCCCCAAAATTATATTTTATTAGAACTTCGTTATTAAAAATATTTGGCAAATATTTGAAAACAATATATCATATTTAAATGATATGCACACTACCCAGGAAGCTTTGGTTGGGGAGGGGCAAAAAGTTACAGAAATGAATTTGGGGACCGAATATTTTTTTTGATTTGGAGTGTGCCTCCCGTGGCTACATAACTGAAAATGTTGGTTTTATTAATATTGATAAAAAAATTATGAGATATGATATATTAAAAAGGTAGAATTCAAATCAAAATAAACGCCATTATAACGCTTTAGGAATCAAAATAGCCGCATTTTAGCTATAATACTTGGCTACGTCGCCTTTAATTGCTAATGACGGCCCTTAATTTATTTAGGCAGAGTCCATATCAAGGTCTAATATTTTTTCTAAAAATAATTCTGCAAATTCTTCACCCTATTTATCAAATCGCATTTTTTTATGTTCATGTTTGCCAATAACTTAAAAGCTTGGGCAATTCTTTATTGGATTTAAATCGGGATTTGATACAGGCCATTCAAGACAAACCGCTGTAGGATAAAAAAATTGGATTGATTCTAATGTAAAATGAAATGTATTTCCTATAGGGGGGATGAAAGGGGGGGGGGTCGCGATACCCTAAATTTAAAAAAAAATAATAGTCAATTTGCCAATTTTCGTATATTTTGACAGTATTTATTATGGCTTATCTTATTTATTTTACATTGTAAGTCAGCTCTCTGACCATGTGGTGCTGCTGTTTAGCTGGCCATTTAGCTTCGACTAAATAGCTTAAAAAGTAAAAGAAAAAATAATTTTATAAGATTAAAATAATCGAAAAAAGCAAAGTAAAATGACCACAAAACACTTATAACAATGTCCTAGTTCAAAAGCTGTTTAACGTAAATATCAAAATTAAGTCGAACCAAGACACGGCCTATCCAATGAACTCTTATACACTCAATTTAAAAAAATTAAATTAATTTAAAATAATATATGCAAAAAAGGTATGTTATTATTAACAACTAGATAGAACACCAATATTTGATTATGTAGCAATTATCTACTTTGATCACTTTATATAATTACATAATAGGGAAAATTTCAGTATCTATCACATCTTTAGGCATTATTAGCCATGCAGATTCAGTAGTGTCACGGGGAGAGGACGCAAGGGCTTGAGCCCCTTAAAATAATTGAAGTGATTGTAAAGGCTATTGACACCACTGCATGCGCTTAATAATAAAAATGATTTCATAAGGTTTTTTTTTCATTTTATTAACCAGGGACTTCATAAACTTCTCAAAATAAAACATCTTCAAAGATTTTTGAAGATTAGCAAAAATGAAATCTTTTCGTAAACATTTTTATTGAGATATATATTTATGTAGTGTTGGGATTAATAATATATAATATAGACTGACGATTCATTCATAATAATGCCCTTTAAAGCGTTGTTGAATGCAAATCAGCTGTGGACCACGTGACACACCATTTTGATAACCTATATAGGATTCAGAATACTCTAAAATTTTTTAATTTGGTCGGCTAAAAACATATTTTCTTGTGAGAATAACCTTGGAATAATTGTGAGGTAGGATATTATTTTACTTCGCCTACATTAAATTTTAAAAAAAATGAATATGCTACGCGTAATTGTCGTCCTCAGCTTTTTTTTTATTGATGTGCACTTTTGATGAATGCCTCGTTAGTCTATGTATTATTTTATGCCATTGATTGGAATATGGAATTCATGGGGATTTGAAATCTCTAAATTTTAAATCATTTACTGAGGGCATTTTTGAATGAAATATCTGATTTGACCGAAATTGTATTCCAGTTTGTAGAGAGTACCAATACATTTCAGATACTATTGTCATCAACTTTTGAACTACTCTTAATTTATGTTAATATTTATATAGAATATTTTTATAAATTATAGAAATACTTTAAAGGTTCATGAAAAATTGTCTGAAATTCATAAGTAGGTACTCTATACATGATGGAATACATTTGTCGTCAAATCATATGTTTCCAAATCACTCTATAAATGATTTAGAATTAAAAGATTCCAACCCCGCGAATTTCATATTCCAATACGATATTATATAATCGTTTTTGATGAGTTAATCATAATTCATAAGATTTTCATCAAGAAATCTTTTGTAATTTTCGTTGTAAAAAAATCTTTCGTGGTAAAATCTTTCATTTATTGATTTTTTGATCTTCAAAATAATTTTTATATAAAAAAATGTTATAAAACTTTTCAATTTTTATGTTTCATCCCTGGCACTGAATTGTAATTATTTTGAATAATTTTGGCTATATTTTACATATTTTTTCAAAAGGTAATTTAAACGTTTAATTATATGATTTTCCAACTGATTAATAAGATCTAATTTAAATTTATTATATAAAAATCTGCTCGGCCCGAATTTTTATAAAAAAAAATTTTAAACCGGCCTGAATTTTTTTTTAAATTTTACTACCAGGCCCATATACCGGGTCCTTTTTAGTTCGGGCCTAAGGGTCTCTTATTTTATGATAAAATTTAACTTTGTAAGTATTTTAAAAAAATCATAATTTTTATCAAATCCTACTACATTGTAATTAATTTTTTTCCACTATGCCCATCTTTCACATAGGCTAAATATTTTACTAGATTCTATTTAAATATGCTAAATTCACTGATTTATATATATTTCTATAATTAAGGGAGTCAAAAGAAGAAGGGACGAAGCAGACGGCAATGAAAATGATAAAACGAATGAATGATCTAAAATATTTAATTAATGAAATATTAGTATTTGACTATGTTCTTAGATTGAAATAAGATTTATTAATATGGAATTATATTTATATAGCTTATTATATATACCTATAAAATACTAATTTTGAGTTTTATAATATAAATCAATTATCAAAAATAAATTAAAACATTTGATAGTTTCGTTATGTCTAATTTATTTTAAAATTTTTTGATGATTTTTGAATGCAGAAAAACATATTCATAATTTTTTAAGTTGTAATATTTTAGTCGCATTTAATTTTGTTCTAAATGAATATTATTCTATTCTTTTGAATATCAGACAATTTTGCCATGGACTTTTGAAATATAATTTATATTAGTTTTCCATAGATTTTTCAAAAAATTATAAACTCAAAAGTTAACTATAAAATTATCTGCAACTCATAAGATAGCTTATTCTAAACATGTTTGAATTTCCGGTAAAATCAGAATTTTACATTTAAAAAAACGCACTCCACGATTTAAAGTTGTAAAAATTCATTGACGAAAAAAAAACACATTGCCGCTAATATATATACATGCAACATTTATAGTTAATATAGGAAATAAAATTTTATTATACATATATAAATATTTAATGGGAATAGACCGAAATGAAAATAATTGCAACACAAACAAAACCAAACCCTCTTTAATATTAAATATATATATGTATGATATATATAAAATAAGATAGATTTTTAATTTAAAAAATGAAGTTTCTTTCATATACTTTTGCCATAAAAATAAAATATTTTTTAATTTTGCACATTTATTTTAATTAAAAAATTACCTAGTCTACCCCTGAAAATTTATCTCTGTTCCTGATTTAAAATACTGATTGGTTGGATTATTTTTGCATATGCACTAATTATTAAGAAAATTTATAACCCCTCTCATCTAAAATGGACCATATTTGTTAAATTCATATAACATAACCCAACGAAAATGTTCAGGGATTTTCCCATGCTAGAATAGGGAGATTGGGAACTCTATTACTTTATTTATCCATTAATCCTTATACAATAGATTGATTATTAATGATCTTTTCATTTAAACATTACATTTAAATATAAAAAAAAAATATATAGATATCCTTTAAAAGTTAACAGCACAAATTTTTTTGAAATAATTAGGCCTTTATCAGGATATTTACAAACAAGAAACTTAAACATTTTAACTGCCATGGAAAATGTTTGGATATTATAAATCTTCTTTAAATTTTATAAATATCTTTTGAATACATATGAAAGCTACCAGTGTTGTATGCTACTTTTAAAAGTAGCGCGCTATCTGATGTATATCTTATATATATTTAATTTTCTTTGTAAATAATTATTGATAAATTTAAATAATTATTGATAAATTTAAATAATTATTGAAAAATTTAATGTCAATCAATAAAATAATTTGTATTAAAAAAAAATAATATATATTAAATATATTATATTATATGAGATGATTAATAAATATTTTATTTTGAAAAACACAAAAACTTTTGACTTTTATGAAATTATAAATTGATGTTTTACTTTGAAAAAGAGATATTTTAAATGATGTAGATTTCATAAAAAATATTGTTATATTTGATAAATACAATATATTTTATAATAGAAATTTGGAAATTAAATAAATTTAGTATATAAATTGAGAAATATTTTATTGGTGCCGACAGACCAGGATTCGTGAACACTTATTAGGGAAAAAATAAGTTAGAGAAAAATATAAATATTGAAATATTTAGAGAAAAAAATAAAACTAGAGTGTTTTATAAAAATAAATTTCAGACGTTATTAATCAAGAAAAACAATTTCTAAGACCGGGTTCCTCAAAATAATAGTGGATTCCGGATATATAAAGGTAAGAAATTTTTTTTGTATTATAAATTACACAACGCAATAGTAAGATTTTTTGGATTAAAATTAGAAATATATAAGATAAAATTTTAAATTTTGGGTAATTAATGAAAAAAATGGCTTTTTATTTTAATGATAATTATAATAAGCATAATATTAATAAAATGTCAAATTTTAAGAATAATTTTAATAAAATTTTTAATTCAAACTTTAATAAAGTGGATGTGACCAATAATGTCATTACTGCATTAATTTTTTTTGTGTTTTATGTAATCTTAATTATAATGAAACAAGTAATAAGGAAAATAAAAAGAAGATCTCTTAAAAATAGAGAAAATGATATAAAAAATACAAATATTGAAAATTTAATTCCTAAAGTTTTGGTGAAATCTCCAGATATTTCTGAAGATATCAAAAATAGTTTACATTTAATTTTGTTAGAATTAAAAAATTTAAATGGTAAAAAAAATGTTATACTGGAAGAAAAATCCGAGAAAATATTAGATACGGGTGACGTATTTAATTTTCATCAAAATATTGACATATCGGAGGATATAAATAAAAAATTAAATTCAATTGTGATAGAATTTAAAAAGCAAATTTCTGAGGTTTTAATCGAGAAACCAGTAGAAATTTTGAAAGAGAATAATACCAATAATACTTTGAGACAAAGTACAGAGGAATCTCTAATTTTATGTGAAATTAGAGAAATGAGAGAAAATATGAAAAATTTGTCCTGAGAAGTTTCCAACTTAAAAATCAAAAGTAATAATGCGATTGAAAGTTGTGAACTTTGTGGAAGAAAAGGATATATCGGTAAAAATTGTTATTCAAGAGACCGAAAAACTAATGAGAATGTGACTGCAAAACCAAGTGAAAAAAATGACATAGTGTGTCATAGATGTGGTTTTGTAGGACATATAAAAAGAAATTGCATGGTGAAAGAAACCAATTTCAAAAGTGGATTTCCGCAACGAACAGGTAGTGATAAATCCAGTGGTTCGAAGTATACAAAATCCTCAGATTATAAATGTGGATGAAATTAAAACTTACAATACAGACCATGATAGAATGTGTTTCAAATGTGAAGAAATGGGACACATTGCCAAACATTGTATCCAAAGTGTGAGTGGGTCACAGTGACTATATGATTTGAAAGAGAGTCATATAAAAATAAAAAAATTTAGAGAATAATAAATATTTTGATATATATAGTTTTATTAAAAATTTTGTGGATGTATATAATAAAATAGATAATCATCATGGGAATGATGATTATACATTGAAATTTAACTCGAATAAAAAGAGTTGGAATGTGGGAAATTTTTATTGTCATTCTGATGAAAAAAAAATTTTAAATTAACCAATAATCTGAATAAAAAGGATTATTATAATCAAACAAGTGGGAAATATCCATGGGAGATTTTTAATAAAAACATAAATAAGATTCAGAGACATTTAAATTCTGAGATGAATTTAGGTATGAATATTAATTGTATTGAAAAAGAGATTAAAATAAATACCATTCAACCGATTAAATTGCCTAAAAATTTAATAACTGAGGGAGCAAAGGAACAGAGTTCATGTCCTCATATTAATTTAAAATTTGGTGGACAAATGGTTGAAATGTTATTTGATACCAGGACAAGTATTTCAATCATGTCTTGTGAAAATTTTTATAAATATTGGCCTAATGATATTATTGAAAAAATAAATATGTGTATAAAACAATTTGAGATCTGAAATCAAAGTTTTGGGTAGAACTCAATGGGATGTTCTTTTCCATGATATTCGTATAATTTTGGATTTATGGATAGTGGAAAAAAATGTTGAAACAATTATGGGTTGGGATTGGATTAGCAAACTTGGACCTAGAAATAATTATTGGGATTTATTTATCATTGATAAAGAATTGGCTAGAGATAATGCCGAAAGAAAAATAATGGTTAATGAAGTCAGGGAAAAGCTTAAAGAAAGGGAAATGAATAAATTAATGGGTGAAGCAAAAAAATCTATCGTTAATAAGAATATTTGTGAATATCCTGCAAAATCCATGATAGATTCAAATCAATATAAGATCAATAGTGAAATTGATAATGATAAAAAAATTAATAATGAAATTAATGAATTAAATAGAGTTAAAAATGCTATACCTATTTTAGTGGAAAAATATGGTATAATTTTTGAAGACACTTTGGGATGTCTAAATGATTATCAAGTAGATTTAAAATTAAAAGAGGGATTTTCATCTATTTTCTTAGCCTGTCGTAGAGTTCCTTTTGAGTGGAAAAAGGAGATCAACGAAGAATTAGATAAATGGGTTAATGATGGTATTATTATTCCTGTGGAATATAGTGAATGGGCTACACCATTAGTACCTGTTAAAAAATCTAATGGAAAACTTAGATTACGTGCAGATTTTCGAGTAACACTTAACAAATGGGTTGTGGAAGTGAAATATCCATTATCTCGAATTGAAGAAATTTTGGCAAATTTTAAGGGAGCCAAATATTTTTCAAAAGTTGACTTTTCATCAGCATATTTACAATTGTCTTTGAAAGAAGAAATTCGTAAATTGTTAACAATAACAACGCCTAAAGGATTATTTGCATTTTGTAGATTACCTTTTGGATTAAGTGTATCTGCATCGATTTTTCAGAGAACAATGGCATCAGTTTTCCAGGGTTTGGAAGGCGTATTTTATTATATGGATGATGTGTTGATAACTGGAGTGACGGCAGAACATAATCAACGTCTTGAAGAGGTTTTCAAGAGAATTCAAGATAAAGGTTTAAAAGCCAGTAAAGAGAAAAGTATTCTTGGTGTCACTGAAATAGTGTATTTGGGTCATCAAATTAATGGAATTGAAGTGAAGCCGCTTGATAAAAATTTAAAAAATATTTTAAACATAAATCAGCCTAGTAATAAAGCTGAAGTGCAGTCTTTTATGGGCATGATAAATTATTATCATAGATTTGTGGATAATTTTGCAAAAATAGCAGCTCCATTATATGACTTATTAAAAAAGGCGTTAATTTTGAATGGAAAATTGAACAAAGATATGCTTTTGAAAATTTAAAGAGAAAAATTGGTGAGGAACCAATTTAGTGTGTTTTAACAATGATTTGGAGATAATTCTTGCG